CGTTGGCCATTGACTTCCATGGTCTCGTCTGAGGATCCTCTGGGGCTGGAGTGAGGAGAGGATGACTTGTTTCCTTGGTCTGAATGCTCTCCTTCGGAAGTTGATTCTCCGTTTGCCTCTCGGGTTTTCTCTGAGGAGCCTCTTGGGGTGGAATGAGAGAAAGATGAGAGAGATTTGTGCTGACTTTGACCGTCTAATGATTCATCATGGCCGAGTTTCTGTTTCGTGTCAGATGAATGCAGGGTTGTCCAAGCCGCCGTACTTCCGCTTTCCCAAGAGACGTCTTGCACTACTATATCTCCTTTCAGAATGCCAGTCTCTGGAGAAGCAAGATTTAGGTGGAGCACTTCTAGCTGTCCCTTTGAAAAATCTTTTCCTTTTACCCCTTCTTTGATGCTGTGAGATATCGGGAAGGTATTATGGCCTGGCTTGGGTCCTGAAAGGAAAAGCTACACCCTTTTGGCAACAATATCACTCCAAAAGTCAAAGGTGAAAATAAAAAAACTCACCCTCTCCAAAGATGAGTCCACAAAAGATCTTCTCGAGTCCCAGAACAGGTATCTCGAAGGTCAAAGAGAAGATGACGGCCACGAAGTGAGTCAGGATTAGCGTGGACAAGAATACAATCGCCTGAANTCTGAAACGGTCAGCAATATGATCTCGAAAGGAAAAGTCGTTGGGATACCCGTTTCCCATCCACCTGTAGATAACGATTACCTGCTCTCTCTCTCTCGAATGATGAAACTGCAGCCCATCACTGGAAGCGAGCGGAAGTGAGCGGTGGAAAATGCTCTCATTCTTCCCATGTCTCCTCCTTCCCCTTCTCCTCCACCATAAATCCAAACCATTCGAGGAGGACCCTTGGATGGTTTTGATCTGGGGAATCTCTTCCAGGGATTTTACCCCACGGGTGGGGGGAATGTGACTGAACTCTGCAGCAACCACACCGGGGTTCTTTTCGATGAACTCAACCGAATAGATAGCATTTCTGAATGGGCGCTCAAAAGTGAGTTGCGTTACCTATCGTGATTTATTTATTTATTCTTGCTCACTTATCATTTACTCATATTTGTTTCTTTGAATAATTCTTGTATATATATACTTAATGGGATGTTCTCTGGATGTTGCAGGGATTTCCACATCCCAGGACGATTCGTAATATCATGCATGAGATGTCATTCTGTCTCACGTAGGATCCAAATGGGATGTCCCAGAGATAATCCCATGCTATTTGGGTTCTTACACGAATGAATTTAGGGAGATGGAGATTTTTAATTTTCCAATTTTTGAATGTCTTAACTTGGCAATTGAGACGTTGACGTTGTATGAATGATTGCCAGTGGTGGACGGGACCAGGAAAATGCCGTCTGGGATCCTCACGGGGAACATCTGGGCGTTGGGGAACTACTAGGAATGCATCGAGTTTTCTCGCACTTAAGTTAAAACAGTGTTGAACTGTGGTGACGACATATTGGCTCAAACTGTCTCACGACATAGCAACTTGAACTAACATACTAAGCAATACATAGGTTAAGAAGCAGTCAGACGGAGTTCAGCATGCACGGAGATGGCGATGATCAAATAAATTTAAAAAATAAAATGCAAAAACGCTGAGTTATCCAATCAGAACTAGAACTATACCATAAAACTAAAGTATAAAGAAAACCGGAAACTATTGAAATAACAGCACTACTCCAGTCTGTGTGAGCGCACTGAATGTCAGTCGCAGAATGACTGAAGGGCACCTTGAATGATAGCCACCCCTACCCTTAACCCTATCTCCAATGCCAAATATAGACAAATGTGCCTACTCAAGGAATGCGAGGGGTACTGTGCGCTCAGACTCACTTTGTAAGGAACTCTTGGGCACTAGTGGTAACGACGGATGAGACTGATAGGAAGAGTGAGATGACAGTTAAGGGGGAATGTCTAAATGAAGCAGCATTCTTTTACCTGATTCCAGGAAAGGAGGGGAGATCAAAGAAGACTATGACGCCTTCAAAGAAGACCATGAGTACTTTCTCCTATATTTGTTTTAAGGGTGGGGGGAAGTGAAGGCATGGGAAAATGACAGGGAAGTCTTTTTTGCAGCATTATCTCTTTTGCTAGCAAATCCGGATTAGGGGAAGAATGACGCAGGGGATAAGAAATCTCGTCCACATGAACGGAAAGTCCGACATAGTGATGTCCGGATCAACGAGAGTTGACTGTTTATAGTGAAATTTTCATGCTGAAACAAAAATTAGTTCTTTCATCATAGCATGGAAAATGGTTTGCGATGAATATGGTCTGCGATGAGTTTGGCTTGCGATGAATTGAGCGCGATGAATTGGGTTGCGATGAATTGAGGGCTATGAATTGACATAGAATCCTATCTACCTCATCAGGAGTTGTCAGGACGCTTCAATGATGAAATGCCTCGAATGCAAGAGATGAAGAATGCGACCTTGGATGGTCTCTCTAATCAGGCGGTGTATATAATCCAGAGATGGTTTACAATGCTTTAAAATGAAGTTTCCGGTTGCCGTAGGAATGCGAAAAGGCATGATGGAGATATTGATGGATTTAATACGTATGTGTATCACATCGAGAAAATTTTTTTTTTCGTTTTTGTCAGCCTCTTATCAGAACTTCTCCATTGCCGGCTCTGGCTTGATTTCGTCTTCATCCTGTGAGGACTGCGAGGTTCGTTGGCCATTGACTTCCATGGTCTCGTCTGAGGATCCTCTGGGGCTGGAGTGAGGAGAGGATGACTTGTTTCCTTGGTCTGAATGCTCTCCTTCGGAAGTTGATTCTCCGTTTGCCTCTCGGGTTTCCTCTGAGGAGCCTCTTGGGGTGGAATGAGAGAAAGATGAGAGAGATTTGTGCTGACTTTGACCGTCCAATGATTCGTCGTGGCCGAGTTTCTGTTTCGTGTCGGGGATGAATGCAGGGTTGTCCAAGCCGCCGTCCTTCCGCTTTTCCCAAGAGACGTCTTGTACTACTATATCTCCTTTCAGAATGCCAGTCACTGGAGAAGCAAGATTTAGGTGGAGCACTTCTAGCTTTCCCTTTGAAAAATCTTTTCCTTTTCCCCCTTCTTTGATGCTGTGAGATATCGGGAAGGTATTATGGCCTGGCTTGGGTCCTGAAAGGAAAAGCTACACCCTTTTGGCAACAATATCACTCCAAAAGTCAAAGGTGAAAATAAAAAAACTCACCCTCTCCAAATATGAGTCCACAAAAGATCTTCTCGAGTCCCAGAACAGGTATCTCGAAGGTCAAAGAGAAGATGACGGCCACGAAGTGAGTCAGGATTAGCGTGGACAAGAATACAATCGCCTGAAAATAAATCTTGAATCAAACGCTGACGCCAGGAACTTGAATTGTACGAAATCCTTCCCGAACCTGAGTCTCATGGTCGACATATACGGAAGAATCTATCCCGAAATGGTACCAACCCGTAACCAGAACGTGGACGAGGTATGCGCTGTAGGTGAGTCGGCCGAGAGGGACAAAGGCTTTCCAGCTAAGCAGAGTATTCACTGGACCTGGAAGACTTCCAGATATTAACTGAAGCACTGAAAATTTATATTTTTTTCTGTAGGAAAAATAATTCATTTTTACCTATGGTAAAGGTATTGACCAGTACGGAAATGATTCTTGGTTGAAATAATGCATCCATAACATTTTGTTTGACCGGATTAAATAGACTAAGAGACTCGGATAAAATTCTTCTTGGTTACGAAGCAATCCTGATTGGGAATCACTCCTGCTTTGGGTTCGTTCACATCTGTTTATTCGTTTTTGTGTCACGCTTTACCACAAGATACCTATTTTCTTGGTTTTTATTTCTTTTACCCACGTACCCACGTACCTTGATACCAGCAGCTACCAAACTCTCCCAATTTTTTTCCACAACCATCGTTCGCATGAAACCTAACGTCAGTAGCAAAAAAAAAAATGAAAATCGCGGAATCTTACCTCCAGCCCCAATGTGGCAGGCAAGAACGACCCATGCCAACCCGACGGACCAGGCGACCCTATGCACAGCAACGTAGATGACCTGAGCCGCTCTCGGCATCGCCGGTGACAATGGTTTCATATAGTATTCCAGACCATAGATGACTGCCATGTTAGTCGCGATCGCTGCGCACCAGCCAGCGAGCCCCACAACCTAAT